GAAAAATGTTTCATGTCTTATTGATTACCAGCTCAAATTGCTCATAGCAGTTTTTAAGAAGCATTGATTTTCAATTAAGCGATCATATTGCCTGCTATTTACTTCTCTAAAATGATTATTTTTGAAGAACTAATCTAAATCTCATCAATATTTAAGCACTGATTGAATCCAAAGTTCACATGTCATCTACTGGGCTTTCAGAAAATAAGTGAACCCATTGAATACGCCTCATCTTTCAGTTTCAAAAATCATTTTTAATGAAAATCATTAGTGTTACTTACAATTGAAAAAACATCATTTAACTCTCTAGTAACGACAATCACCTTTTATTTCTGATCGGATGACAAGTTATCAGAGCAAAACACTTGTTCCTTATTGACTCAATAACATCGCAATCTTCATTATTTGCAATACTGCAATTATCGCAATCTGTGATATCCTCTTCTTATAATGCTTTTCAAGTACCCAATTAATCTTACATCCCCTTTAGATAAAAAAATAAGAAAGTAAGTCAGTAATACTTTGCAGTTCAGTAAAGTTAATATCTTTGAATTCTTCGAGGGTGCAAGAAAAGAGCATCTTCGCCTCACTCCCCAGTAAGTCATCACTTCGAGCTTCTCCAGCGCAAACTCTCGCAGATACCATAAGGGCTGCAGATTTTGCTTGTTAGAATTTATTAGGCTTATTTATTTCATTGCCTTTTTTATAATGCAAAAGTAATACTTTGTCTTTGTCTTTATTGGTTTACATATTCCTGTGTAAAACTTGAGCAGTGCAATATTTTGAAATTTTTTTTGTCTATAAGATGTGAAGGAGAAAATATGCAAATAATATTCAAAAATTATGAAGCAGGGATCATCGAGCTCGGAATAATAACTTAATTCCTTATTTATCTAGAAAAATGACATAGTATAGAAAGATGACATAGCTGTAGATCATGATGCAATTTTTGTTAGAATTGAAAACTGCAAATTTTTTGGATTAATTTGTATTCTTGATCAGATGAAGATCAAAGGACGATTTAGTTGTCTAGCATTTCTGACCCTGAAAACAATGCCTTAATTGTAATAAAATTTAATTGCTGCGATGTTTGCATAATGAAGAGTATTTTGTAAAGTGGACGAGGTCCATATTATGCCATTTTTGCGCACTGCTTCCATTTGATCGCTGCTACTTATTCAATTTTTTGGTTGTAATCCAAATTTTATTCATTTCAGAATTTATGTTTGATTGTTCATTCTGTTGATGATTAGTTATGCCATATCACTGCTTATATAGTATGATAATAATATCTCTGAAAGGGGAAAAAAAGACAACTACAATTTCACATTATTTGAATTATCACACACATTCATATTTGTTGAGAAATTTACAATTTGTCTATAATAACAATTTTCCATATTATTTTGATATGTATAGTTTGTTTGAGATCAGAATTAGTGCAGCTGATAACAGATGGAACAATGGACACGCATGAAGAAAAAATAAAGCCTAGTGTAGCTAAAGCAGTTCCTGCTCAGCTCTTCACTAATTGTACTATTCCATATGGTAAGATATTACGTATATGATTACAGCAAAACTAATAATTATGCTGATAATAAAAGTAATGTTATCATCAGTATGTAGTATTTGTATTTATTAAAAATAATTTTAATCTTTTTCATTGCATTTTTTTTTCAATTTAGAATTCCTCAATGCTAAAAGGGTGTTACTTACAGAGCAGTAAAAAAAAACCTGTATTATCACCATACTGTTCAAAGTCGATTTCTAACAAAGTGCCATCGAGAAAAATCTGCGCAATCCTCACAAATATTATGTTTTATAATGAATCAATCTTTGATAACTTATACAGAGGATTGTTTTCTTGCTTCAAGCCAATATGGACTTATTTTGCAACTTACTTTGGACGTTGCACTGATTTACTGCAAGTATTTGATCATACTTTTTTAAAGATAATTTTTCATTATTTATACTTAAATTACTTAATTTTATTTTTTAAAACTACTTACTATTTAATTTAAATACTATATTATTTAATACTATTTAATTTTAATATCATTAATTTGGCTGATTTAGATCAGTCAGGAGGACGAAGGAATCAATAGCATGCAAAAATGATGAATGGGAGATTCCGTTTGAATCAATCACTCATTTGGAATGGTTGGGTTCGGGATCTCAAGGTGCAGTATTCATAGGCAGTTTTAACGGTCGTTTAGTTGCAGTGAAGAAAGTTAAGGACAAATCAGAAACAGAACTTAAGCATTTGCAGCATATCAATCATGCAAATCTTATAAAATTCATGTAAATTTTAAAATTATGCTGATTTATTTAGAAATAATTAAACGCTTATTATATATTGATAAAGAATTTCAGTAAAAAATAATTAAAAATAAATTGTTGACATTTCATCTTGGCAAAATATTTATTTGATCGAATCGAATGCATTCATTTGATCGAAAATCTTTATGGATGCCAAAAATGATAGCACATTTTGTGATAATAACACGCAGTGACTCAGATGCGACTGTAATATTAATGTTAATAGAAACATTATTTTACATAGATGTTGTTATTTTTTTTGAAGAAATAATTGTTCAATGTGTAAAACAATATGAAATATTAGTTAGTTAGTAAATTTTTAATTATCGCTAAGCATTTTGGTTCGCTATTAACTGAGTAATTTGCAGTTTACAGCTAAGTCATTTTACAAGCTAATCTTTTATAATTTGAAATGATCCTCTACAAATCACTTAAATTCAATTTGTAGTGAAATAAAATGCATATTATATATAAGATCGCCACTGTAAAATTGATAGCATTATTAGTTGATTTTATTTTCTTATTTTGGAGAATCCAAAAGTACACTTGCTTTTTTTTGCTTAAGTTTAATCCTTTATGAACTTTGAACATTCAAATTTTTTCGTTCCACTTTATGTGCAATATTGTGTATTGTATATTAAATTTATATTGCAGTTATTTATGTTACAGTTATTAAGAGAGTATTGTTGTAATTGGCTATAGTACTATAATCACCAATTTAGAGGAGTTTGTACGCAATCACCATGTTATTGCATAGTAATGGAATACTGTGGTCAGGGCCAACTTTATGAAGTAATCAGAAGTGGTCGGCATATTGAAAAAAATCAGTTCGCACAGTGGACACATGAAATTGCTGACGGTATGAACTATTTACACCAAAAACGGATCATTCATCGGGATCTCAAGTCGCCAAAGTTGGATATTTCATGATTCAAATTTTTTTCGTATTATTTAAATCGCATTACCAATTATTTGCATATTTACTATATGCTTACTTTAAAAGTCTGTAATAGTTGTAGAAATTTGTTTAAATAGCACATATTTTCAGTAAATTCAATTGCGGTAAATTATTTTTTCTAGCATTTTGGTGGATGATACTGATACTCTAAAAATTTGTGATTTTGGTACCTCACATCAATGGAACCGGCAAAAAAGTACGATAATGTCATTTTGTGGTACAGCTGCTTGGATGGCACCAGAAATTATCAAGAAAGAACCATGTTCGGAAAAAGTTAGTCATAGAATAGCTGAAAAAAATACACGCACGTCTTGAAACATCTTACTGATAAATTATCAACCTACGTTGAGTTTGACTACTTTAATCTTTTATTAAAACTATTTACAGGTTGATATTTGGAGTTTTGGAGTTGTTTTATGGGAATTGTTAACGCAAGAAATTCCATATAAGGACATTGATTCGATGGCAATTATTTGGGGTGTTGGCTCAAAGTAATCACTTTATTTCAGAAGTTTCGAAAATAATTTCATGAAAAACATGCTTAAAATAACAGTTTTGAACTGAAATAAAAAATTGAAAGTTGTTGCAGTAACCTAAGCTTACCAATTCCTGAAACTGCTCCAGAAGGTATGAAATTATTGCTAAAGCAATGCTGGAGTATGAAGCCACGAAATCGCCCATCTTTTCTGCATATCTTAACACATATTGCAGTTTTTAAGGTAATTAACAAAACTGAAACGAATGAGCATTACTCTGTACCAAAATAAACGGCTATGGTAGTCATACGCTTTCTTTAGTGTCACAAAGTAATAGGCGTTGATTTTGATAAAAATTAAATTGGAAAGTTAAAGGTAAAATGAAAGCTATGCAGCATTTTTTGCTTAATCCAAAGTTTGGATAGAATTTTTTGCAATTAGAAATGAAATCAAGTGGTTGTGAAAATCCATTTGATTCAGTCAGAAATTGCAAGTATTACCGAGCAGGAATGGACGCAGAAGAAACGCAATTGGAAAGAATGCGCAGTTCTGTATATGAAAAGTATTAGACACGAAAATCAGATGACATCAAAACAGAATGATGTTTTGAGCGGTATTTGCCTCTTTTTCATTATCAGATAGATTTAAAAATTAATAACTTTTAATATAGGTAAGAGCATTTTGCTCACGTCAAAAATTAATGCAGGTAATTCAGAAGTAATTTAAACGCGAATTCATTATTTCTCGAGTAAAACTTCATTAAAGCTACTTAAAATAAAGTTATGATTCAAGACGATAAAAAACTTTCTTTTTTCAAGATAAAATTTTTTCAAATCGCAGATATTTGCAGAAAGTAAGAATCGCCATCGTATTTTGCATCTAAATTTTTATAGTTTGGAATGTTTTTTTACAAATATAAATGATATTTCAAAGTAGTTAAGATATGGAAAAATTTACAGAACGTGCGCTGCTTCGAATGAGACGTGAGGAACTAAAGCATGCGCAAGATATTCGAGAAATGTACGAAGATAAGCTGAGAACAGCGGATAAAATTTATTCAAAATTAAAACAATGCCTTAATGATTTAGCCACTCGTGAAGAAGTATTTTTTTTTGAACATTTAAAAATTTTTACATTTATATTAATTATGAAGTAAAGTTGAAATTTAAGTTTTTATTTGAGGAACTTTCCGAACGTGAGCGACAAATTAATGAGTGTGAAAAATGCGCAGGTCATAAACGGACTAAATCGAATATTTGCTCAGTTAGAAGTGTAGTTTCTGATACAGAAATGCGACCTGAGAGCAATAAATTCGTCAGCGTAAAAAGACAGAAGTAGCTTTGTGCATTTGATGAACAAATTTTTTCGAAATTCATAAAGAATTGTTGCATTTTTGATTATTTCTATTTTCGTAGACTATTCTGTGATTGTAGGAGGCCAAACATTATGCTTCTGAATCTTTTTACATCAGTCAGGAAAAAACATTAAAAAACTTGGAAAATTTGGGATTGTAAGCAGTAAATCCGTTCTCTGTTTTGAATTCTTTTTTTGACTGACAAATTAAACATAAATGATCTATGTTTTATAATGACTGTCAGTAATAAATCATTTTGCCTTTTTAGTATAAAGTTTCAAATTATAACACTGATAGTGATAATAATTCAAGTAAAGATTTATCATACTCGGAAGTGAAGGAAATATATTCATCAGAAAACGAATGCTTGTCGAATTATTTCTATCGAAATTTACTAGCAATGTATCTTACTACACGCATAAGTCATTCAAAGTCATCTCCAACGTATGTCATTCAAAATCATGTCCAAATTTATCTCAGTTTCAATTTTATCAATTACTTTAATCACTTTATATGGCAAATTTTATTTGATGATATAAGGAATGTTGGAATTTTTAGTGACTGGAAATAACGCAAAATTTGCAGAACCAATGGAGCATATCTATCTTCTCTGTCGCTTACTTTCAACCGAGAAAATTCCGATCGTAATTCATTAAGATCGAGTAGAAAGTCAGCCAGAACTTTCTCTACTCAATTACTAGATTCGAATTCAGGTGCTGTTTTGACAAACATAATAAATAGATTATGCTTTAATGAATGTTGCTTATTCTTCCTTGAAAAATGGCAAGTAAATATTTGAGCATAATTGGCACTGTAGTCGGTATGATTCTGATATGTATAATTATAGAGCAGAACTTTTTTCCGCAGTCACTGACTCAACTATCTCATTGCTCCTGCAACGATCATTTTTATCTTATTCATAGATACCCAACCTCGAATTCTGGTTCCTTCGAAACCTCTTATGATTCCGGTACTTACAACTTGCATGATTTAGATTTCTCATCTGGAACGTCAGCAAATACTTCCAATTATGGATGCATTTGTTGTGAACAAATGGTTCCTTATATTTCATCTTTTTATAGATTACTCATTCTTACAAATTTGTAGTTAAAGTATTAACATAAATTATTAATCATCACAAGTTATTGCTATTGCAATAACAAAGCACAAAAAAAGCTTGGCAAATTTGAAGAAATTTATAAAGTTTCAGCTGTATAGCTGTTTTCAGAAAGTTTCAAATAATTTTTATCGAAATGTAGAAGGTCGTTGGTCAGATAGGCGTTTAACAGCGCAACGAAGGCGAATTAAAAATGATTTTGGTAATTTCCATCGAGAATCATTACAACGAGCGCTGCTCTTAGGTAGATAAATTGTTTTTGCATTTAAAAACTTATTTTGAGAGCAGAATATTTATCACCAAATGTATTCAATCCCATACTTATTTTAGAATTTTTACTCATTTTATTCTTTGTATGTTATATGAATGCATAAATGCTTGTAATTATTAACTGTGCTTACTTGGTTTCATGATTTTAAGTTTATTCAGAAAATACATGTCTAATATATTCACGACTTCGCCATTCTTTCACGCAATCCATGAAAATCCGTAGTAACACATCAGCTCAAGCCACTCAGTCTTATCAAACAACCGCCGGAGTTGATATTTCTGCTCATTTAAAAAAGAGCAATATCAGGTTTGGAGCACAACATTTCTTTTTCTGCATTGAAGCAATAATTTATTTATACTGTAATACAAAGTAATTGTTAAAAATTTAAATAAGATAAGAAGCAAACTAAACTTTTGTATGCATTTGGATTTGGAATTTCGGCATAAAAATTTTACAATGCAATAATTGAAAAGTCAATTTTTGATCAAAAAACAAGCAGAAAAATGCTCAGACATAGATAGAAGCTACATATTCATGAATAATTACGTGTAGACTTTAAGAATAATTCAATGTCTTTTGACTTTAAATGATGTCATTCATACTTTTACAGCTTTGCGAGAAGTTCAAAAACAGTAAGAGACAAAGCATGCAATTTACAAGTTAGTTCAAATCCTTTCCTTCCATAGAATGTAACATTTTTCTCTGGACTCTTTTTCTTTGCCTAGATAAAGTAAAAATACTTCAGGGTAAAGAGTCGCAAAGTTTTGAAGACGCATCAAAGAATGATTCCAGAAGATTTCCAGGCAAGCAAAAACGATGGGAATTGCCAGAGAAGGAAATTTCTTATGTTTCTTCGGAAAAAAGTTCTGAGGACTGCGATGAAAATGATGGGTAATATCCACTAATACATGCAAATTTTATCATTCAAGTCCTACCTCACAACTTTTGACAATATCGATCGTTTAAGAGTAATATTATTTACTTCTAGAGATATGTTGGATTCATCAGTGGATTCCTCAACGGTTCATATTGCTTTCCAAAAATCAAACAGTTCATCAAGTGGTGGTGATAGTGGCAAGTCCGCTTATTTTACCCCCTAATTTTAATACTTATGCAGATTTTAATGAGCAATATTATTTTTTTCCTGATTTGATTGCTTTGATGAAATACAATTTGGTATCCTTTAATTTGGAAGTAATTATTTGACAACGAATTGCTCATTCCCTTTATTTTGTGATATCAAATTTATTGGTTTTATAAAAATTTTTCTCATAGTAATTTAGGCTAAATCGCTTGCTGATTACTTTTTTCTCAATTACAGAATCATCACTGGAACGAACTTTGGAATTAAGCGCTCTACATTCTGATGGTCTTTGTGATCAAGAACGTCAAGTTCGCGCAGATAAAGATGATATTAAATCGCATCATAAGACAAGTGCAGGCAGAAGCCTCTTGAACTTTCGTTACTGATTAGATTTGCAATCAGCGAGGAGATTAATGCGTGAAAGGTAGATACCACAAATTGAGCATGAAATAGACGTGCTCATTCAAGGAAAAAGTACTCTAACAAACTTCAGCTTCAGGGAATATGTAACCACTACATTGTTTTGTTTGATTTCGGAAAGTGAAGAAATTGTAGTGTTAGGAACGATGCAGCTTCCACATTTCCATGCAGTTAAATATAATTCTTTCGATCTCCTCATTACTGTGATAAAAAATAATCATCAATATATAGGATTACATAATACTTATCTTCTAAAGGTTTTAAATGAAAACAAACGGAGGTACTTGTTTTCTTTATCATCGTATTTTTATATTTATCATAAAGTTGCAGTAGAAATATACCATTTACAATAATGAAGGATCTAAAAATTTGAGAGCATAAATAGTCTGATGAAATAATCACTCCAATATTCAATACAAGCAATATTGACCTGAATAACCCTGATAACCACCTCTGCAAACGACATCCAATCGCTTTGTAAGAAGTGAAGTCACCATGAAATTATTGAACAAAAACAGTATGTATGAGTAAGAGATAACTGCAAATCGACATCAAATGCATCTGCAAAATCATACAATTTGTTGAATTAAGGTAATTCCTTTCAACAAGAATCTAGAGATTTAGTACAAAAAATACAATGAACAACCAAGATTTACATAAAAATCGACGAAAAATAAACAACTCTAATATTATCAGATTCGAAAAATAATATCAAAGCCATTTCTCAGTATATCAGTATATCAAACAATGCCAATTTCAACGCTGATTTCATTTACCATAAAGAACAATGGCAATTACTCAATCCTGAACTTTTAAATACATCAGTAAAAAATTTAAATTTAGAGGATATTTGGTGATTTATATTCATGTATCTATGCAACTGGAAAGATCGCTGCATTATATGGATTAACTGAAACACCACAATAATGCACATTCTGGACGACGTGGAGCAATACTGTCCCATCTTTAGCCACAGCAATAAAAATAAAATGAATGAAGTTATTTGTTTCTACATTCCCTCCTCCTTGATTTGCATGTGTCAACAGTCAAATCTGCTACTTCTTCATCACATTTTGTCTTTCCTCTCTCCCGACGACTTTCAATATCATGAGACGGACTTCCCATACTCATGTCTTCCACAACAGCCGAAAATGTTTCATCATCCATAACAATGACATCATTTTCACTAAGCTGTTTTTTCGAGGATCTAAAACCAAACAGTTTTTCTCTTAGTCCACAAATGCATAGAATGCGAGCACTATTAAACGAAAAAAAAGACACACACACAAAAGCAAAGAACAGCACAAAGATGCTCTCAAATATCCAAAAAGCAGGCTACACTTTTTGATCTAAACATTCAATCCCAGTACACCACTTATTCTTTCTCCAGAGATAGGCCGTTTCTATCAATAGGTCAATCATCATCATTCAAAAACCGTACTAACTTCTTACAACAAATGATAACGCTACAATACTTCTCATAACTTTACTATTCCAATCGGTATCCATAAATACAAACTTAATACATACCTTTTCGGATTAACTTCCATTTCATGTAAGGTCACTGGATGGCCAGACTGTTCTCCGAAATTTGCCTTTTCACTCGATATCTCTTTTTCTTTTCCTCTTTCTGAGGAACTAGAATTTGCATTTCTTTCATCTGCAACGAAATGAATTTTAAATTGGAAATTATTACCAAGCAGAATTGTAAAACATTTGGACTATGTCTTTGACCAACTAATTCATTAGATAGTTTTGATTATCAACATAAACCTCGACGTTCTTTATCTTTTTTCAGATATTTGGAGTAGACTGAACGCCTTTCTGATGATCTAGTTTGTCTAGGCGATTTCGTTTCTTTACTCTCTTCCTCTTCATCTTCTTTTACTTGATCATGCTTTGATGCTTTTTTGCTCACAGCCGAACTTCGTGTACTTCTTGACTTACCTTCTTTGGGGGTTTCTTCAACATTTGCCGATCTCGATTCTTAAAGCAGTAAAATTCTTGCACAAACGAAGAGATTCGTAGTTTTATTTTTTTCTGAGTAATAAGTTGATTAGCCTTTCTTACCATTACTACATATACTTGTGACATACAACAGTGAGAAAGAAAAATAATACTTATAACGGAAAAAGCAAATGCCGACATAATCAGAAAAAAAACATATAATTAGCGGTTTGACCATCAGAAAGAGATAGAAAAACTTGCTGCTTAGCTTTTTGGATGAATTTTTATCAGTTTTACAAAATAAAGAATGGACTGAAGATTAGGGAAGGAAAAAAAAGCCACTACTACTAAAACTAAAGCGTATATATTTTTGAGGTAACCAATAAGTTGAAACACAATTCACCTTTTTGGACTGAAACTTGAGGTGAAATCATGACAAGACGACCATCAAACCGCCGCATCACAGTTACCTAAATAAAGATCAAGACATTTATTACTTTATTAATTCAACTTTTTACTTGTTAGGTATCAGTACTTGCATTTCAAGCTGTTCATAAGATCCCTGCCTCCATTATTTCTGAACAATGCAGCTCTTAAAGCGAATTGATTGCTTGCCTAATTAAAACAAAACATGTTATTGAAAAATTCTCCAAACTGCAGTTCACATAGAAAATAATGTGCGGATTTTAGAGATATTATTGCCTATAAGTTGTTGTTTTTTTTTCCTTTTTGAAACACTTAAGAACATAAAATGATAATATGAATTAGTTCACTGAAAATCTTTCACATTAATGTACACTGAGAGTAAAAAAAAGCAAACCAAATTTCCAGCACTGGTTCTCAAAATCATTGGCTTTCCAGTGAGTTCTAATGGTTCAGCACTAAGTTGCATGGTACGTCCAGCAAGCTTTAATTTTGAAGTCTGTCCACTGAATGGTACGCGCTCTAGAAAGCAAAAATGGCACATACTTCAAATTAACTTCATTTAACATAATTAAAAAACTGCTTTCAATTTCTGCTTAGCAGTGACTCGTTTGTCAAGAATTATCTATATCTGAATCTATTAGACTATTTTGCGCAAAGCAAATAACTCACTTAACGTGTAAGTTCCTTGTAGCTCTGAATTTGCTGATTCTGTAAAATATGACTTATAAAACATATACATATATATATAAATATATTTGTAGAGAATTTCAAGAAATCCAGTAAAAATTTTGTGTGAATTCATTAGAAAGTCTAGAATATTTACACTGTCAATCTGGGTGACTTACCATCTCCTTCTTTGGAAGGTACCTGAAAACATTAAATTATAAGCAAAATACTTTAGACAATCATCCCAAAATCTTGGAATCACAGGTTCATTTCAAATTTCTCTCCTAGTAACTTTAAAAAGTTATTTATGTTTCGATCTTAACTAGATTCTTACAATTAAAAGAAATCCCCAAGCAATGTTTAATAGACAGAAAAAGATTTTCGGTCGCTTTGATTAGGACGATATAAACTATTCAACAATTTTTTAGATCATATGAAAATAGAACTATATGAACATGAATAACATTTTACCAACACCCTTGCAAAAATAAATATAATTTTTTGACTCGAATAAAAATTTTAAATCAAAACCTCTGTTTCTCCAACATATGTTGTCTTGTCAAAAACTCCTTTAGTATTTGGTTTGATCACGCCTCGACTTCGTCTCGTCTGATAGGGCTCTCTGAAAAAATATTAAGTAACATATCTCGCGAAATGTCCGGCATTTAAAATTCTATCTAACTTGACCAAACATGTACACTTAGACACAATAATATAAGAGAAAATTAAATGGACTAAAAATGATATTTTCACTTAAAAGAGAAATGCAAGGAAAAGAAGGAGAAAAAATAAATTACTCCAACTGACAGTGGATTTAGGACATTTTTGTATTTCATTACCTTGTTGGTGTGCCTGCTTTTGCAACTGGTGCCGCAGAACTTTTACCTTTACTCTTTTTTGTTTCGAAAGCTGTGTCAGCTTCCTCTTTTCCTCTCCCACGCTTAGATCTTTTCGAAACTGGTTGCATATTCTGAACAAATTATTTAACCTCAAAAAATTGCCAAATTATCAGAACACGATAAATTTGAATAAAAATATTCTGTACACTTAAACGCAAAGCCTTACATCTGTGGTTTCTAGTGCATCCGTTTCTGCTTCATCCTCAGCTGTCACTTTTTCTAAAAGGATCAGAATTACTAGACTAAGAGAATGATTTACGATAACATGAATCTTATTAATTGTTCACCATTGAGTAGCTATTAGAAGATGTAAACCTAGAACAATATTTAAATTGTGGACATAAATTTCAAAAGGCAAACTGCAGAACTTGTGCAAAATTAAAATCACACGAAAACTCCAACAAGCTATTTAAATTATATTTAACAGAGAAAAAAACTTTTGTCAAAAGGAGACAAAGTATCAAACCTGATTCTTCTAAAGTACTTGATGCTGGAACAACTGGAAGAAATATAAGCGGGTGCGCTTCCGGTTCATTTTTTCCATCTCGACTTTGCGTTGTACTACTACTTTCATCACTGCTTGCGAAATTCAAAGTGGGAAGTAGACCAGTTTGTTTAGCAAGAACTATCCCGCCACCTCCTGATTCTTTCAGCTCAAACATATCGCTAGCTAGTTCTTCAGTAGACTTATTGAAATCTGGATCAGCAGCAATGTTGTCGCAAAGAGATGTGAGATATTTCAAGTACTTTTTAGCTGCTACAATATGCTTCAGGGACTGAGCACGCTCTTTAAAAAGCTAAAACAATTCTCTGTTTAAAAATAAAGAGTTTAAAGTTAAAGAACGGAAAGTAGCTTAAAAGCGACACTACTCAAATTACTAAAAATATAAAACTTCTAAAAATACTGCTGATTTTATTAAAAAAGTTCACCACATCATTAAAACAAAGTTAATCACATCTCAATTAAAGAATTTTTCAGAACAAGTGATAGCAGAGGATGAGGCAGAAATGGATGCCCTAGAAACTGCAGATGTAATTCTTAACTAATTTCACCATCCATAAATTTTCAAAATGTGCATACCTCACATTGCAATTCGATTTGCATCACCAAATTATAAAGTGTATAGCTAGAAAAATTAGATCGATGAGTGACATAATGCGGCTGTCCCCCTCCACTTTGAATTTCTTTACTTTCATTGGAACGAACTGATCGGCTTTCACTGATCCGACTATTACAATGTTCAACCAAATTCGCTACCTTTAGAGCAGTAAAATTTTTTCTCAGTAACTTTTAACGAAGTGTTTTAAAGTAAATTTTTCTGGATCCTCATTAATTAAAAAAAATATTTAAATGTTAAAAAAAATAACATTACATAACATATTCAACAGAAATTCATTCTGTCAGTACTAATTTATTTTAGACACCGTTTTTTTAAATAAAAATTACTGACATGATCACCAAATTAAATTGCGTCTTTTCTTAGCAACAGTAGCAATATAATGAATAAATCAAAAAGATTATTACGATAACCTCTCGCTTTTCTTCATAATCTGATTTTATGTTCCTTCCATAAGTAACGTGTTGACCAACATGCTGTTGAGCATATCGACTAAAATTTCTTCCGAGCTCATTTATAATGATCATACACAGTATTATGTCATCCCTTCTTAAACTACTGTAATTTCACTTTTTTTTGATTACCGTTAATCACAGTTAATTTCAAAAAAAAAAAAAAAATCTAACTTCTGAGAGCTTCATACACATTCCCGAAATAGTTTAATATTCCGTTACCTTCCCATAAACCTTGGTCTTTGCAAGTTCACTTGCTTTAATCTTGGCCCACTGACTTCTCGGTCTACTTGCTCGTCTTGATCAATACCTTCCTCATTACCTTCTATGGCATATTCAACGTTACGATCACCATCAACACCTGCTGAATCATCCTGTCCTGGAAATCATTCCTTGGTTAGGATTTTGGCAACAAATTTAATTGTGAATAGTGTTAAAAATGAACGATGTCACAAAATCAAAGAGTAGTGCATTCTTCATTTCACTGAAGGTGGCAAATTCTTTATCCTTAATCTTGACCACAATATGACATTTTTTTAAAACTACTAAATAAAAAATTCTCCACCAAATAAAACAATCAACCACACTAAATACGACGGTATGCAGTTATTTTTTATCCAGTGATAAACAGAATTAACGGCTGAAAGGTGAAGCAACATAAACATACGCTACCACGTTCCACTTCTTGTCTTTCAGCAAATCCAACGACTGAAGTAGCATCCATGTTTCGTACGACACTTTTCGACGTATTTAAGGGATAAGAATCAGGTTCTCTAAAACGAAAAAAGTGATTCCGTGAGAGCTTGATATCTTAAGAATTAAAAGAGTTAAAAACAACACTGAACTTACTGCATACTGGAATCCTCTTCTCTTAAACCTTCTTCAGACCACATTTCGCTATTTTCTAAAACTGCTCTCAAATATTCAACATATATTAGTCAACATCAATACTTTCATTGGAATATGTTTGTCCTACATCATCTTTAGAAGTAGATAAGGATCACTAGCTCGAACAGTGTAATAATAACAATAATCCAAACTATATTAAGACACGAAGCCAATAACTTTCATCATTGATGAAGGCAGATTTTAGAAAAAAAAGGAATTATATCTTTTCATTGACTTTGAATATTTGCAAAAAAAAAAACTAGTAAAATAATTACACAGTAATGGAGGTAATTTCCGAATAGTTTTTTTACAGATTAGCAAAAATAAATCTAACCTAACCTAACATGACTTCACCTCTTCGTCTCAAAAGTCTTGCACGTTGGGCATTACTTTTCACCATACCAGCAGTTCGCAAACGCCTCTCCTCCACTTCATGCATAAAAATGTCAGGGGTGAATGGTGCATCAACTGTAGCATCTTCATCTAAAATATATATTATAAATGTATATATGTAATAAAAATGAACAGATATAAATGAAAAATTTTCCTTAACATAAAATTTACTCTACGTATTTTACATAAAGTTCACTTTAAGTAGTTACCACTATGGAAGTTGTGATCTAAGCAATATTGAATCCGCAAAACTCGGGTTTCTTGCCGTGACACTCGCTAAAATATAATATATACATGTTCATAAGTATTAATTATTTGCCACGTCAGCGACAAAAGAATTGAACCCTTTCTAACAGAAGATGTAGATTAGGCCTTCAGCAAACCTCATATCAGATTGCACAGGAGTCTTTTCTTTGCTAGAAGAAATTCATTTCTCAAAAGACTTCAATAAATATTATTTAAAAAAAACTATATTTCAACATTTGAAATCATTTCACCAGACTTTTTCAATACTACAATCGTCTTCGAGAGTTCAAATGTATTAATACATGAAATGAACACATCTAAGCAATGAAAACAAAGATACCAAATCTAAATTCCATTAAAAATTAGCAGGTACAGACTTCGTCATTATTCGGATATTTTGCAGAACGGCCTTCATGTTTAATAACGTAAAGTATAATACCAGCCATATTCGCATAATACAAATATATACAATTTGTAGCATTCAAGCATCACAGTAAAAAGCTCTCCATACCAGTATCAGAAAATGTATACAATGACTTACTCTATAATCATAGACACGAACATATGCAGTACAATGGAGACCATCAGAATGAACGCCATAAGTTCGGCACCAACGATCATCTGCTGCACAAAGAAAAAACAAGCTTTCATTATGCATAGAAAAACGTCTAATTTTATATCGGCTTCGCTGTTGTAGTTCTCGCATCCATTGCTAGAATAGAATGCTTTTACAAACAAAATATAATGATCTAAATTTATTTACTTATCACACTCTTGCAGCAGAAAACTTAAATCAAATCTTCAAAACCTTATCAACTTCCTTCAAACTCAATTTATCACTAGTTCACATTATATAGAGAAAACTTACCACATTTTCTGCAACCGAAACTCAACATTAGTAAAATCTTAATAATCTTCTTTAGATAAAAATCCATAGAAACCTCGAATAAGTGAACTCCAGGAAAAGAATAATACTGGCACGTTGCTTCTCTCTGATGATCTTGAGACACGTGATCCACAAAATTCTCCTGCGACGTAGTGTCCGAATCCGTAGAAATTGATATACCACATTCGATGCAGACTGACTAAACTTGCACAATAAATTGTCGCATCTTATTTTTTCAAAATAATCCACTTTTCTCAGAAGCTTTCAATCTAAGACCCAATTAATTACAATTGTTTTCTCGGAAAAAAACTCTTTTTTTCTGCGGCAATACGAGTAAGAATTAATATAAGTTAACCAATCCTAATTGATACACATGAAAAATACTTGTCATCTTTGTTTGAAATTAAATTTTTAAGGCTTTGGATATTTTAGCAAAGACCAGAAAACTTCATAAAAATCGAACTGGAGGAAATGGTCGCATTCTTCGAATTATTCCGGGAGATGTTTCTAAAAGAGTATAGATAAATTTCGAGCAAATAAAATCAAATTTTAAACATGCTATCAAAACAGACTAGTACCTTATAATTGCTAAAATGATAACAGTCTTTTCCAGAAATATACCTTTGGATTGTAAATTACGGCGCCTTTCAACCATCACTTTTTCATACTCAAATCTTCGCCGATAAATCTTAAGAAATTTCTAATAGAAAGAAATAAAAGACTTTATAATAATTTGCAAAGAAAGTTGCAATATTATTCTCAGATTTCAACTATTAAAAAATACTTTTAGAAGATAAATGAAAGCCATAATTGATCAAAACAATTAATGTGAATGAACTCAAAGAAAAGCATACAATTTAAATGTTTTGCGGTTAATGACTAATTCACAGAAGTCAACAAATCGCAAATGACTATATTTCACTTTATAGTAAAATGAAAAATTTCTACCTTGTACTCGCGATGTTTTGTCAGTCTTTTTACTAAGGCATCCAACGGAGGAAATAAAGCAAGTACATCAGGGTTTTCAGCAGCTAATTTTTCAACTAAATTAAGATTTTTTTAAATCAATGTTCAAATATTGGCTTTTTTTTCTAAGAATCCAGTGGATCATCAACAGATCTGATATTAAAATGGACCACAGTAAAAAAACAACAGATATCGATCACTTTTTTGAAATACATATATTGAAAATGATACCAAAATGGCTATAAAGATCTTCCAATGGATCATCAGTAAATTCGGACATTAAACGTAGATCATAAATTACAATTCGAAGGCGTACCTAAAATGAACAGCTCGCAAATGAGTCTATGTTAAATATGGACGTTGATTTGTAAACAAGAAAAAAAAATGAAATTTGCAAGATATAACAGTTGGATTTAAGATTAAAAAACATTCACCCGCAAATCATCAGGTTTGCAAGTAGCTAAATGATGATGTCCAGAAGAACGTAACTCTGTTAACCCGGGAGATGTTCGTAATGCGCCAGGACAACCTTCATTTACACAGCGCCATTTTGTATAGCTAACTTCGCTTAACTGGAAAAAAATAAACAGTTGATTATTTTCATATATATCTGTAATATTCTACATAAATAAAGAAAAAGAGAAATCATCTAAGTAAATATGCACTTCAAACATGAGATTTCAAAAAAAGTTATAACCTATATGCAACTTTATGATCCACAGCAAAACTTTTCTCCAGATACCAAAATTATTCCCGACAAAAAATCACAATAAATTACAAAAAATTTATTGTAGCTCTTAATATTTATTCTTATTCTGTCATCCATAACTTCTTAAAATTAGAAATAAAAGCACAAATAAACTAACGTCGGATGCGGCAACATACAAATGGCCATTCCAGGCTATTTGGGGATGACAGCGTTTTGAAAAACATAAAATGATTCTTTCGCCATTATCAAAAGTAATTGTTCGAGAAACAAGGTCTTCCAAATCCATTGTAAGACTTATCTATGATACGAAATATTATTTTACAGCTGTCGTACTACAAAAAACATTTGAATAAGTATTTACTTTCGTCCTACATTTTTTCATTCTTGTCGCGAAAATTATTTTTTGAAAACTACATATTTCGGTTGCTCTCAAAGGAATGCTATCGCTAATCAAACCTCTCCTGTCATTGGGTCCCTGATAATCTGGTCTACTTCTCGATCAGCAAACATATCTGAATCATCTTCATCATCACTGTATAAACCGTCTTCATTGACACATTCCTCCATCTCACCCCCATTACTTCCCGAAATTCGAGCCATTCTCGCATCGGCAACATCTGTTTCGATAATGACTTCTTCACTAACATCCTATAAATCAAATCATATTAATAAATTCAAATTGAAGAGTTTTTCATAATTACAATCCGAACAAGAAATAAACAGAAGAGTATATTCACCATATGAAGACCAACATCTTGAGTCGCACTATTAGATTGTTTTCCTGGTTCATGTAGTCCTTCGCTATATGCACCATGTTGATTACTGGTAGAAGAGTCACCAATTTGTAGTAGTGCTTCATCAAGATCATCTATAACCTGCAAATCAAAATAAAACATTAAAGCAGGAGACTAATTCTCATTTACTAGTGTATGAATAATACCCAAAACCACATGCAAATCTACTAAATGATCCTTGTAATACTTGGGCTTTAAAATTAATACTGATTAAGCTAATCTACATTTTTAAAAAGCACTGGACAAAGAAATCATGGATCACAACTCCAGCTTTCAGTACTGCATCACCAAATTTATTCTTTGAAGTAATTTAGTGATGCAATACTAAAGCTTTGATAGATTAAACAAACTTATATGAAATAGAATCATAAAAAGAATGAAGTCTTTGCCTACCTGACCAGAATCTACAATTTCTAATTCACCAGTGTCCATATCTTCTTCATTTTGCTCAAAATCATTTCTTGCATCACTCATCCCTTTCCTTTAGAAAAATCCAAGCTTGGCACTTGGTAAGAACTAGCTCAATTGGGAAATTCCTGAAAAACAGTACAAATGGAACCGTAGTATAAATTACATTTATTGATTGCTAACTTATTATTATAAATATTTATTTCAATATTCCAGTACAATAACAACATAGTATTATGAAAGAACTAAGTTTCCAAAACTTATAACTGATTGGATGATAACTAGTCAATATATCATCCAATCAATGATTGAGTAATCAAGCGCAATTAATGAGACAAAGATATTTCCAGAGCCGAACCAAACTTTAGTATACAATTAGCAAAGCCTGATTTCCACTTCATAAGCTGTGCCATCAAATAAAATAAAAAATTTTATGCATCTTAATTTGTAATTCAGAATGAATTAGATGAAATGACGAATTCTATTTTTTAGCAAGATGAATATCAGTAAAGATTCGTTGGAAATTGACTTTTACAAAAGAAATTTATACCATTGCAAGCACACACCAATTCTACTGGCTACCAAATACTAGAATTGACATGAAATATTATATTAGAAATGCCTTCTTCCAGTTAAAATTTAAATCAAACAAAAACGTAGGTCAAACAATCGACATGAAACTGAGAAAACAAAACCACTCTGGAAATCGATCTAGTCAAGCTAATATGATAATAAAAGTTCCGAGAGACAGGAATGTTGCATTGCAGGTCAATATCATTGTAAGATACAACACAAATAATGCAACGAAATATCGCACCTTCGACCCAGCCACACTAATTAAAATGTGAACTACTGCTTTAGTCACTTAGTGATATATAACTATGGACAGGAGCTCTGGCGACTGCAGTTAATCATGATATTGTATTTTTAATCATTTTTATACTTTAATCCAAATAATCTAACATCCGAGATTAATATTTCACTTCCTAAATATCATAGCAATGTCTTGTGTTTACGAATACAATTGATATGAATAGAGAGAACGCATCTGCTATGATGATAATCACTGCTTGCTGATATGACATTTCCTCACTCCCTTTATCCTGAACGTATCTTGCTTCAACTGATCATTAATATAAATTAGTAGAAAGCAATGCATGTTTTCTCCTATTCTAGCAACCAACAGTAATGAAATGAAAAATATTTAATGCCAGGGTAAACCACACAATACAGACACTAGTATAGTCTTACAAGTCAAGTGGACGCTATAAAGCATGATAATTCGAACAGAAAAATGAACAGTACTTATGATACTGTTGTTGGTTGCAAATCGAAGCACAATCATCAGACTCTTGAATCACTATCGTTATAATACACAATAATATGGACAAAGTAAAACCATCAGGAAATAACCTAATAACCAGTCTTATCTTCCCCTTAAATTGAACTTTTATTGAAAATTGTTTAAAAAATTAATAACTACGGTTACTGTAGAGCTGGAAAATTCAAAAATAAAAGTATGCCGACAGATTCGTAACTGGAGACATTTTAATGAAGTATAAGGTAGGAAGCGTATTACAACTCGTCACTGTCGAGGATTCATGAATGAAATGTATTCTCACAAATCTGCAGTTCTGAATAAAATTTTGGTCTTTATCACCAAAGCTTATAAAACTTGCATGAAAAACTGGCAGAAGTAAGTACACAATAACAAAGTAAAGCAATGAGTAACAATTATGAAAATATAAAATCAGTGATAATAATAGTAAATCCAATCTTCTAAAATTTTATGCAATCCACAAAATATATTCCGGTAGAAATGACAGAATCATCTACAGTTGAGAAAATGATTAATAGTAAATTTCTAAGCAGATTAATTATTGTGAAGTTGGTGGTAAATTACCCCAATGCGGACGAAGTGGCGATGGCGGAAATTGGCCATAAGCTGGAAATATATTAAGATGAGCATTTATTACATGCAGCTGGCCAAAACTGAGTAAGATGGAACGAAAAAACGAAATAATTTGCAACTCTTACTTTACTCACAAGAAATATTAGAAAAACGCCACCTATTTTTTAATAATACCCACAATCTTAAACATCAAAAATCTGTCAGAACCGATGGGAAAAATTTGTGGTAACAAAGTATTGATAATGATCAAGATGATATTATCCTAAAATCGAAACCGAAACATCAGGATCATTAGATTCTTAAATTACTTGGCACAGGTGCGCTGAAAGCTCCTGGATATGTCCCCGGATATGAGACAGGATAAGGTGTTGTATAATTCTGATTAAACTGAGGCTGAGGCATGTATGGTGCTGGCTGCGATGGATATCCATATGGTGTTTGAGCTAAAATAAGAAAATAATGCATCTTAATACACTTATTCCTACCCAAATTATTAAAATTGATAAGAGACAGTAAACAATTATTTTACTAATGGGATTATTTTCATGTGCTCTATTGGCTTACCAAATTTTTTTAACAAAAATTGCGCTACCTTGAAGATAGCAGAGAAAGATCAAAAGTCACCAAAACCTCAGATTCTTTAGTTAAAGCCTAATATGGACATAATTTATACTAGTACTGTGAGAAAATGGCTGTTGCTGAAGACTAAATTGCTGCGCTAAACCAAATGGATTCTGATGTTGTGAAGTTGGCGTTTGAGTTGCTTCCAATCCAGCTACAAAAATATGCAGATGCGCATAAAACGTACACGTGAAACAGTTTAATTCTTAACTACAAAATATTGTGTCTGGTAGCCATGAGAGTATTATGAACCAATAAAAAATAAAATAGCTGTATTTATTTTATCTATTCAAATTGACTGATATTCAACCAAAAATCTTGTAAATTTTGTCACATAATGAAAGTTTTTGGTTAGATACTACATGTAGCCAAACAATTTTCATTATTTCACAAATAAAATCACAAAGATACTGCAAGATTCAGTGAGACTAATAATTTTAAAGTATTATGGCTATTACAGATAATGTAATAGCTTGTTTGAAATATTTAACTCTGTAAACAAATAACGTAATCGATAATCAGTAAATCAACCATGTTCGCACTACCTACATGCCAATAAAGCAACCACTCCATAAAAAAGATGGATATTTAAAGCTAAACAAGCTTTGTCAGAGAGAAGACATCTCTCGTAATAGCAATTACTCTAGTACAAAAATAAACTTTTTTAAATTAAATAGATTTACGAGATTTTAACTCACAGACATTAAAAATAAATTGGCTGACTACCTTGAAGACTGTTGACATTACGTGGAGGTGGAACTGGTGATTCCAGATCAAATGGATTGCTTGAAATAGGCGCATTAGATGGAACTTTTGGAGGCGGAGGTCGAGGAGGGGCGATACTTGAATGATTTGAATTACCTAGATTAATATAGTAACTTTTCCACCTATCAATCCAAAAGTAACTCTAACATTTGCAAAACATTACAGCTGAAAATTTATAGACGTGCTTGAATTAACTACCTGAAACAATATTATGTTGTAGTTGCGTCATCAAATCTTCCTTCTCGGTCTGCCGAGCAAAACAAAAGTCAGACACCTTCTGTTGTAGTCGTAAAAGTAAAGGAGTCAAATCACTGTAAAACTAAAAACACACCAAAAATATGCAAATAAAGACGCAAACAAAAAAATTGATGTAAACTGAGAACATTCTTGATTTCAAACAGAACTGAAAATTAGACGAATAGTTTTTTCACCTTTATTCCTTCATCCAAATTTGATTTAATCTCTAAAAATTTGTCATAACTGGTAGCCAAGATTTTTAACATGCGTTCGCGTTCAACAGCATTTTGACTACCTGCCTTCTCTGAGCAAAATTTTTTATTCCATAACTAAAACAAAAATCACTTTGATTATAACAACTTTAAAGGCAATGACACAACGCAAAAATTTTTCGATGAAAAATAGTATAAAACAACCTACTTTATGAAAAGGTAATGGAACTTTTATTTATCTTATTTTACCTCTACTTGAGCTAAACAATCTTCTTGCTTCTTGATAGTTTCATTCACTTTAGTTTTTAATGGACCATAAATTTCTGCAATCTTAGTAGCAGAAATTTCTTCTTCATTAATAATTTGGTTGTCGCTCAGTGCTTTCAGGAAAATGGAGCTCATATCACAATGAACACTTGTGAATTCTTTTTCCAATTGTTGTCGTTCAAGCTAATATACAAAAAACAATTCAAATAAAATAAGGAAAATTGTAGTCATAATACAATAATTTCGATAGCTTTGTGGAAACAAAGCATTTTCAAAAGAAAATAAAATTATGAGATTTAACCGACTAAGTCACGTTATCTATCTTATTGGAAAAAGAATTAATTTACTAACCAATAGCACAATAATAAAGCTTGTAATGATTTAAGAGGCGAAAATAAACTCTAAAAAACTCAACTAATTGAAACAGTTTATTTCTAAGATTATTTAAAACTGATTGCTAATTAAGAAAACTATATTACAGCTTAAACTTCACCTTGATTTCTTGGACGATGTCCATTAAATTTCTTAATTTCACAACAGCTTCCGAATTTTTATTCGCACCAGAAGAAGCGAGAACCGGTATAGCTGCTGTAAAACTTTCCATGTTCACTCTACGTGGACGAAATACAAATTTGAGACAGAAAATTTTTTGATAATCAATAAGCTTTAATTTTTTTAAATATTGAGAACTGAAAGAAACTTATCTTAATTCAGACTCTGATGCACTGAGCAATTTGATTCCTTCTTTATTTTCGTTCAGTTTCTGCTTGACTGTTTCATCTGCACTAGAAGCAGAATGAAGGATTCCACGATACTTGCCACATTCCTGATGAAGTGGAGCTGTGAGTTGATCGGATGTCATACGAGTCCACTTATCTTGAAACTGGGATCGCAATCGGTCGTCACTTTCTTTTTCTTCACTCAGAAGCCGGAAAGTCTCAAAAAAAATTAATTTTTCCTAAATTCTGAAATCAAAGAAATACTACAGAAAATAAAAAAAATGCAAATAACTTTCCCAATAATTTCAAAAAATTTAACGGAAATGAAATCAACCATTTAATAATAAGAAATTTTATGGATTAAATTTCATAGAAACTAAACTAAACTAGTAAGAAACACGTTCAATTTTTATTCAATTACTAAAAAATGCGTTTAATTCTTATTCAGTATTGAGTAAGCAATATTAGTAAAAATTGAACGTACAAAATTACCCAGCAGTTCAGACACAGTTTAAAAAAAAAATTTACTTCATCTAATATCTCTTGATTTGTTTTATGGATATTAGGCAAATCAGAGCTGAGGCTCATCAAAATGTCAATCCCACCCATGGTCTTTACTTTAGATGATTTTTGGCGTATAGACTCCGGCAGTGGTTCTTGATTCGTAACATCATCTAATGCAGCAGGTAAATTTAGAGACGTCAAAATTCTAAAACAAGTGAAAACTGAAGAAAACACTAACGAAAGGCTCAAAATCCTCAGGTGTAATGAAATTTTCTAGCCCATATTATATGACGCTGAAAAAATTCTTACATTCAATATGTAACTTTTTTTATCATATAGATTAGGAAAGATAGCACTAAAAATCAAACGAACCCATTCATTAATTGAGTATGTTCCCGAAGACGGCCTGTTTCTATATTGATAACTTCTGACTTTCGGGAATCGAAAGATGCAACAGACTGATGCACTTGAATGGGAACAAGACTTGAAAACATATCTGCAATAGGTTTCTGGAACTTATATATGTATTCTTGACAGCTGATTAGTGAAACAAAATTTAACTTTGTAAGAATTTAAACGATCCATGACTGAGCATGAGAAAAACGTGCACTGAACGGGATGAAAAAGTTATACCTTTGAATCTTGGTGTCATGGGTGACATAACCGGTAAGACCTTTGCAACTGCAACCTTAGGTAATGACGGAAGACTTCGAAAGTCTGCTATTCGTTCATGATACTAAATGCAAAAAACTGTTACAGAACTTGCTTTCTACTACATCGAGAGAAAATTAAAAAAGATTTCTGCGTGACACACTAGAGCGGAAAAAAATAACTTAATACTGAAAACATCCATCACATTATTTTTGAAGTAAATAATTCATAATAAGAACCAAATATACCACAAAACTAAACTCAAAGTCCAGACAGTTCAAATTTATGAAATAATTACAATAAAATCATTATCCTTCTTAGCCGATAAATATGCCTTCTGGATCGCTGAGAGATGTACATCAAAAGTCCCATGAGGCATATAACTTACTGCTTGTTGAATAAGCGACAGCGCCTCATTTAATCGACTTAATTGTTCACCTAGAAATGGAGCAGATCCACATAAATCAGAAATTTTTCGAGACGCAGTAGGTAAATAGGAATATTAAGGTAGCTACTCAGTTTATGTCTCTCCATTTAATTTCTCGCCCAGTTCTTTTTGTTCCCGATTAATGTGACAAACTTTTTAAACTAATAAAAAAGAAAGTACTTATAATTACAAAAATTCTTGTCAGTTTTAATAAGGATTTATTCAAACAATGAAAATCAAAATTTCTGAAAACGAAAGTTCAAAAACTCATGACTTTTCTAATACCACACTTAACCTTATCAGCTATTTTAAATTAAGCACGAACTTATTTCTTTTGTACCAGCACTATCAAGTGCCTTGTAGTATTGAGCAAGAGCTGAAAGCCCTAGCGATTTACCAGTTATAATATTCGTCCATGCCTAAAAAAAGTGCCAAAAAAAGAATGTTGAATACTAAATATTAATAAAATAAGTTCACATCAGCCCAGTGACAAATAAATGCCCATAATTAAAACAAATAATATTGTATACAACTTACAACCTTATCAAATAAGCCCCTCACGGAATCTCTCTGCAATTTTTTCTGAGCCTCAAGATAATACTCTGCACATTGAGCAGCCAATTTTACCAAAGCCAACGGTTTCATTTTATCTGAGAAATAACGTTGTGTTCAACTTGTTACAACTAAAATTTATGGCCAAAAAGTTTCGAATTTACAGATACCGTATAACGTACATTCAATCACAAAAAATACAATATTTGCCCAACCTTTTTCAGCTTTAATATAAATGGCTTCTTGTGCTTGAGCAAGCATGACACTTGAAAGTGCTTCCAGTGTGTCGGGCATGAGATCTGAAGTTGGTTCCTGGAAAAAATTATACATTAATTATTTATCCTCCTCAGAGCAAATACATTGCGAGTGATTGGAAATCTACGAAGGAATTTACAAAGATAATTTTAATTTATTTCAGATTTGGCAAATCACTCGGCAACAGTGATTTCCATGTGTCAAATGCAAGTTATTTAATTTGTTTGCATAATATTTTGTTTTTTCATTTGTTTCATTATTTTTTTAAGTGAAAAATGATACATTAAATCTAGAATAGTTAGATATTTCCGAAAACCTTTTTTCATACATCTTCAATAACAAAAGACAATATGAGCTAAAGCAATAAACTATCAGAAAAATACAACCTGGACCATTTATTTTTGTATGCAATTACTGACAAAAAATCAACAAAGAATCACTTGCTGAATTAATCCAAGAACTGTATCACGTAAATGTGCGAAGATACCGGCTGATTGCTGAAAAAACTTTGCGGCTATTTTCAGTTCTTCATCTGTATGCATTGCTTGAGAGGCAGCAATTGCAGACATAAGAGCACCACAATTGAATAAAACTGCAGCTTGTTCAAATGTAGAGCTACTTAAAGCTGGAAAATTTTTAATTAGTAAATACCACAAAAAGAAAATTCATAATCGGTAAATATCACAAAATAAAAAATTTTAATACTGCCGTGTCGTTTAAATGCTAATAAGGTTAAATCAATTAAATTTTGAAAAAATTAATCATAAACATACTAAGTGAAGCTTGACCAAAAAACAGTGATCCTTTATCGAAGGCATCCTTCCATTTGAAGTTTACAGGATTTTGTGTTGCATTTATAGGAATTTTATTTTCAATTGCAACGAGCTGATCATAGTATCTATGAAAAAATAAGCCTAAGAAATACGAATAGAAGATTAAACAATATCAGTAATCATGAAAAAATGGAAACGATCATGTCAGCTTGCAAAACAAGCTTATATTCTAACAAATTATTTAGACTTACTATGAATACTGCCATTGCAGGAGATAGGATAGTCCTGTTTTATTACTTATGAATAGCAATAATGAAAAAATATCGACACAAATACGCATAACAGTAATAAATACCTTGTCAATACATCTAAAGCACTTTGATGCTTATCCAATGGTTGATTGCATGCTTTATTACGCATTTTGTTGAGTTCTTGCACAGCTTCTTTGATTTCTGAGCTCACTTCACTTGATGACTGGTAAAAATTCTCGACAAATCTCATTAGAGGCTTCGTTAAGTCAACTTCGTTTGTATGTTTTAATGGTACTGCTAGAAAGGACATTTTGCACGCCTATAAAAACTGTTGTTTGCAATAAGAAATGCAACTGAAATGCAATTTGAACGAAAGGCACTTCCTTTCAAGTATACAATTTCTGAGAATAGGCAAGGGCGTAAGTGACAATAATTTCTAGAAAAGATGACTTCATAAAATTATACCAAAACTGAAGTGAAAAAAAACAATCGTAATACAAAATCATTTAAAGACGAGGAAATTGGAGAAATAGAAACAAAAGCTAGGGCAGAAATCAGTACCACTTTTATTACCTTAAAAATATTAAAGTGACGTAAGCGAATGTTAAATCAATACTGCAGCGATTAATGCCTTCACAAAAAAATAACTCGTTTTTAAAAAGTGCTGAATCAGAGGATTACAGAAGATATTATTGAAATATATACGGTATCCCTCCCAGATAGATTGGAACTGATAAACTGTTAAGGTAGAGATTGATAATAAGAAAACACAATTTTGAAACAATTGCACAGAGCAATATTCAGTACGTTCGTACAAAAAATAATGCAACAAAATTAGTGATAAGGGGCAAAAGAAAGAAACGAAAAATAGAAACTAAAGTAGAAAAAAGTTGATTTAGAGAAAAAGAAAGAGGGAGAAAAAAAGTATAAAGACAACACAGGACAGCAAGTGTAAACGACGCGAAGAGAGAAATGTTTTTTCTTGCAAGGGTTTGTAGTCGAGTTGCGCAAGATTTTACTTTGCTGCAAGTTTGAGATATCTGAGGATGACTGAAGTAATCATTGGATACGGTATTGCTTCTGAAGTGATTCAAGCACTTGATTGTTTCTAATATGATCATACTTCGTCGTTCATACTTGTAGACTTAGGGAACAAATAAAATCGAATTCTAAACTTTTTTATTTATTGTAGCAATTCATTTGTATGACTTTTTTTTTGAACTTGCATACTTTTGGGTAAATTAATGGATAGTACAGTACATAGTATTATCTTGTGACCAAGTGATTATTTTTGCTGTTTACTTACACGAGAAACATTTCCTTTTTTGTAGCGCAGAAAATTATTGCGATGAATTGTGGCGAGAAAAAATGCTTTTTTCATCACTGGAAGGAATTAATTTTCGATCTCCCTATAAATTGTTAGAAAAGTTTAATCGACACCAAAATTATGAATTTCTTTACACAACTCTTTATTGCCTACCAAAATAATGTTTTCAATGGAAGCAAACTGTAAAATTAATCCTTGTGGTAATTACTGAGTTTCTTCCAGTGATGTAAATCAAAATTCAGTATATGGCACAACAGTCAAGAAAGAAAACGAAATCTGTCTACGAATCATTACAGTTTTGTGCATTCTAATTACTTGAACACAACACTTTAAATTAATTTCTTATTCAGCAAACATGTTATAAATAAGATTACCTGACTTTAACTACAATAATCCATTTTCATCCTTTTAAATCAGATATTCATAAAAATAATGCATTTGACAATTTTTTCACGTGATTCCAAAACTAGCAACTCTTTGAGCTTTCAAATTTTGACGTACTTTTGGTTTCCAAAACTGGCAACTCTTTGAGCTTTCAAATTTCGTTCGTACTTTTGGTAGAAACTTCATCTTTATGCTAGTATCAGTTTTTTTCTTCGATGGAAATAAACCGAAAATAACGCAATTTGCTCCATAATCTGAAACCTGGACTTGAATGCGACCGTTATACTTCAGTTCTCAGTAAGAAGAAATAGAAAACCATCGCACTAACTTATTTTGATGATTTTCAGTCATTTGATAAATATGCAAAAGCAGATTTGAAACAAACACTATGTGATCACAAACTACATACAATTTAATTTTTGCATGCACAGAATAAACCAGATTTTCATGATGGAAGCCAGAGATATTTAATCTTTGGTTATCAGATATGACCATAACTTAAATGTGATAAAAAGTTGCGTTTTTGTCTTCATTTTCGAGGTTAAAACTTGTTGATGCTATGATGAAATGAGTGAATAACGGAAATATTGGAACTTTGATAGCATAAGTCAGTCTATGATAGGTATTTGCCAGTACATGCATGTCTAGGAGACAAATTACCACTTTGAAAACCTACTGTTCTAACTAGCTGCAGAGATTTCGATAAATCCCATGAAAGAAAATTGCGAACAAACTACTGGTATTCTACTTGTTTTATACGAACAGAATTTAGATTTGTGAGTAAAGGTAGGCTGCTATAGATATGTCATGGAGATCAGCAGCACACTCACACTCATCGATTTTTAATAGTATCAAGAAATTGTTTGTTTTTACAGAGTAGATAGATAGATAGATAGATAGTTAGTTAGTTAGTTAGTTAGATAGATAGATAGATAGATAGATAGATAGATAATATTTCTAGTGCTGCAAGGAGTGAAAAAATGAGAAGACTGATGATTATAATTATTAAAGTTTGACATTAAAATGAAATGGAAACCAATTTAGCAGAATAATTACTTGCATGAACCGCTCCACCATTTGACACTAGTATTACAAGTAATTAAGTTCACCAGTATTAATTCAGTAGTAATTTATTTACGCTTCTTAAATCACATGCTCTTCAGTTCTTTGAATCTCCAATTCAAACACTTCTGAATTTTCCACTCAGTGACTGAAATGTCTATTCTTTGCTAGCACAATCATTTATATTATGTTTGCTCGGATCCATTTACTTGTTTATTTATTTGTTTTTCTATTTAGTTAATTCATTTATTTCATTATATTATTTGCTCTTTTTTTCGTGCATAGTTCATACATTGTAATTAAAAACCAGTTGTAAACAATCGAAATAATCTAAAAATTTTATCGCAGTTTTGAATTTGATAAAATTTCAAGTAAAATGGATAGCTGCTAGCTACAAATATTTTGTTGCGAATAATTCTCACTGTAATTCACAGACACTTTTGTCGTATGCCTCGGTTTAGGAGCCTCCCTTTACTCACAAATTTAATTTTCGCTATTCATATTATTTTTACAAATATTAATCACTTATGCAGAATCCTTTGTAAAAAATGAGGGCAAATCTCTGCAACAAATAGAATCAATTAATCTCATCAAGCACCTTTTTCAGGTTACTGACTTTTTTCTTCCTGAAGGAATACATATCAAAATCAAAACCAAAGAATATATCTTTACAAAGCTTATCATTCATAAAAGGCTTAATGCTCTTGCTTTCGGTGAGCATTATGGTTGCACAAATGAAATAGTAAAAAACAAAAGTCTGAACTTCAATTAAAACTAAACTTTTACATTTCACAATAAAAGCATACAACGTGAATTTCATGTTAAAATGATTGAAACACATTTTTTTCTTAAATTTTTTGCAAATGTGATTTCTCAACTGAAATTAGTGCCCAAAATAGTGAACAGTGAAGTCTTAATTACTTTTACACATATTCATCTCTTTATCCCTTTTCAGCATTAGGCTATGAGTTAAATTTTCAGCTTAAAACGGATCTCAGTTTTAGGAAATTGACCAAAACAGAAACAAAAAATCAGTCCTATCTGAACTTGTAAATGTTTCTAAAAATTTGTGCAAATTTGAACCATCATTCGTACTGCTCGATCAGTAAGCAAGACGTGGACCACAGTGGAGATCTCAATCTGCATGGTGAACTTCCTGCCTTTTAATATTTGTTTTTCATATTTTCAAGTAATCTAAACAATTCTGTAAAAAGTTCATTATAGTAGATGAAAACTTTGCAACTCAAAACTGTTCAAATGCTCTCAACAAAATTAATTTTGAATCTATTTTTTTAGAAGCTATCACTCAATTTGCTATCAGTTCTCCTTACTATTTTAACATGATAGAGTGAGTAATCATAATCTTGAGCACAGTACTATATATCTTGATAAAATGAGATCAGTGTATTTACTAATTACTTTGTAGCCTTCTATTTTTGATTTTTTGGCCATTTGACCACTTTAGTTGGCTTACAATTAGTTATTTGATTCCTTTTAATTGAGAAAAAGTGATGTAATCAAGCATATCAAAAAAAGAATAATTTTAATTCTTGATTACTTCCATATTTTCTCAGTTTTGATTTTTTGCTTGAATTATTTGCAATTTTTTTTTCAAATTCAAAAATGCGCAAAGAAATTTTGTGAATTGCCCAACTGAGTACATTAAATTTTACATGTTTTTGACATTTTCTTCAAAATAACTCAGTGAACTCAAACTCAAAAGCATATGAGCTAGTTAATTTACATGTTTTTTTAATGCATTTGTAAAATTTGAAAGATTACTAAATAACACCATTATCGATCAGCTATTAGCACCAAATCGTATGCAAAATACAAGCGACTACAATAATGACGATTACTTTTATAATGCCACTGTTGTATTGGGAGTGCAAACACATTATGATGAGATAAGCCGAAGATAGTACTCATTTCAAACTGATTATCGAAAAAGCTCAGCAACAAAGTCTTTTCTCAGCTATTTAATGCATGAAAAAAAAATATTCTACCAAAAATGCTACAGCTTCCTGATAAAAAAACAAGCTAGCGCATCAGCTCCTTACAACTGAATGTTAATTTGTAGTGCGCAAAACATATGATGGATTTTTGAGATTCCAAGCAAAAATACGCAAGCGATAGAAGGAGAAAGCTTGAAATTAGTGGCGTACATTATTCCATTTATGTGCCTTTTCGTTAATTAATTTTAAGCAAGTTAGTACTAAGACTGAACTATTATACGCTTTTAATGCTAAAAAAGAAAAAATTATGTAAATTTGTAAATTTTAGGAGACAGAAGATGTTGAAGATCAATTTAAAGAATACTCACTCATGCCGTTTGCAATTGAAATTGACGACGCTAAGGATGCACTGATGTGCTTAATTCGTATGCAAGAAATTTAAGCATTTCCGAGTGTGCAGATGCTAACCGTTGTTAGCCTAACAATACTAGAAGTTTACAGTTATTTTTCACAATATCTGAAGGTAGAATTTGCACAAATGCAAATTTGTCTGCGTGATTTTCATTGAATATATGAAAAGATGCAAATATTTATCAAAAATTTACCAATTTGTTTTTAAGGCTTTCACTTGAAACTAATTTTTGTTTGCTGCACAAAGTTTTGCAGAAAAAAATTTAATTGAAATGACCCATATTTATTCAATTTATGAATTGGTTAAATAAGTTCAAAACTTAATTCTATTTCAGATCAGAAACACAACTGAATTCATAACTTGATTTCTTAATGCCAAAAAAGAAAACAATTGTGTGGTAGAGGTATGTAACTGATCTCTTCATATTATCGCATCACATCAAGCAAGATTAACTTTAAGCATTTACAAAACCATTTCGAATTAATATAATAATACTGAATGTTATTATTATCAATATTATTATTTTATTACTTTTACTGTTATGGTTATTATTATTGCAGTCATTGCTGCTGTTATTGCTGTCATTGACACTGACAAATTATGTTACAAACAACGCACGTACGACAAGCTAAGCACACAAACAGATAGCACACACATACCGGACTAGGACACACAACGGGATGCGAAGCTACACTCTCACGCTGCACCACACTTACGCTCGTGTAAGTTACTTATTTACGTTGTCCCTTTAGGGTGAATCTTGCGCATGCCGTGAAGAATTTTTTTCACAAAATATGATTTAGGTTACTTCTAAATGACATTTCAAACATACGCAAGTTTCCTCCCGTTGCTCAAACATTCAAATGCAACTTCATTAAGCAAAAACGGACCAAAGCATGATATTGAGCAGAAACAATCAGAATAGTCGATGAACGTAGTGACAAATTCAGAAATTCATGACAGAATTGCTTGACTAAAAACTCGCTAAAAACTAGCGTAATTAAAATGTTCACAATTCGTACATTATCCATGTATTCATGTTTTACTCATATGAAATTTTTGTCTATTTATCTGGCACTTGTTCATATTTTGTATTAAATACTGCAATTGCAATATGTGAGAAAATTATTGTGTCTTATATCCATTGCAATGCAAGCAGCTCAAGAAAATTAGGCATCGTTAAATGAAATATGGTATATTTCAGTTATGTGAACGAAATGCTTATTTTTAGTCATTTCCGAAGCAGCCTGTATTTTCTATCAGCACTGAACCTTCAGAATTTGCACGACCCACTAATGACATTTCTGTGAGCACAATATAATCCTAACAAACATATTCAGTCGCTAATGTTAATTATCTTAGTACTAAAAACTCTCCCATTACGATCGGATCCAATTATACATTTATCTGCATTTATTGATAAGCTGAAATGAACACCAATCAATTCAACGTGTTGTGATCTGAAAAAGCATGATTTTTATTTTACGAAGAAAAACATGAAAGTCTCAATATTTAACTCATCAAAAAAACTCAGCAATAACATTTACGCGGATTTGATTCACTAGGTGTTCTATCACTTCATTTAACTATGATGTGTTGTAAATTATTAGGAATATAATTGAATGTAACCTAGCGCTTCTATTCTTGAAAATTCGACTACTCTTGTTTGCAATGTTTGTTTATTTGTAATTCATATATTTTTCTGTAGATAAGTCTTTAAACATTGTCATATTTCATTGATGCATAATTGTAAAGCTTTTCAGGCTTTTTTCAAATCGTGGCCACTATTTGGCTTTGCCGTCAACACTCAATGCCATTATTTGACTTTGTCGTCACAAAAAGAAGCAACGGTAGAGCTTCATGTCTTCGATTGTTGCCCGTGGGCCAGAGCACCTATCATGAACAAAAGAAAAACTAAACGGCGCCAACTGGACCTCGCCGGGAAGGATGAATATGCAAGACAGCTATTCATCCCAAGTTGGATAATAAAACAATAGTACTATTTTGGTACTGAAGGCCTATGTCGTAGATTTATTGAGTGAAGCAGTTATTTACTTAAATAAATTTGTAATTCCATGAACAATGACAGTTCAAGTCATTGTTCATGGAATTACAAATTTATTTCAAATTGATTGGTCAGAACTAACTGAAACCAACAATAAGATAATTAATAGGATCGCATTGACCATGGAGTCTAATACATCAAAAAATATTTAGAAGGACTGGCAAGATCTTCTGAAAACTTTTATGCCTTGAATGGTATTTGTGATTTTTTCTTGTTTCTGACAATTTTGCTCACTAATATATTTTCATTTTCAATATATTTTCACTCATTTTGCTTAACAAAACAAAATGAATCCAATTCATTTGTTTGACTCTAATAGCTAATTTATGGATATCTTCACAGATCGAACAGCAGAATATAAAAGTGGGGAACTCAAGTTGCGATAAGCATCTGAAGCAGGAAATACAGCTCAAACGGACCAGAAGGAAGAAATCAGCAATGTATATGAAGTCCTTCTAATTTTTTTCATGGCATTTGATTTTATTATATTGTGGTATATTTTCTTAATTGTTCATTTATGCACTATTGTATGCTTTTTCTGTTTTTATGGAAGTGACCTATACAAGATTATTCCACAGCCTTTTTAACATTTGTGTCTCACCATCGAAAAATGCTGTTTTTATTTCAATGCGCGTTCTAAACATTTTTTAAACACTCCTTGTTTCCATCTTAATTAGTGTTTGAATTAATTCTCATCCTTTATCTATTTTCTTGTCTCGAGCTAAGTTTTTCATTTGAACTAGATTGTTGTGAGTTTTTTCAGAGTTTACGCTTCAGAAAATGAGCAAAATGGGGTTGCAAACAAACATATCTGTCATAACTGTTTAGTTTGAAGCACCTCTTTGATAGGATTTTTGAAATATTGTGTCATGTGAAGTTTTTTATAATAAAAAGCTAGGTAGCAACTTGAAGGTATGGAAGCTTAGAATATTTTCGGCTTGAGATAAACGTACAGTTGAAATGGCATATTGAAAGGGTATTGATTCACTTCTACGTCAATCAATCTGCCTGAAGACAAAATGACGTGAGAAGGACCTAAAAAGAACTTTACTGACGTGCCATTCTACAAATGGACCGAGCTTACTTTATTTTTTTGGGAGAAGAGAAACCTATGAGGCGGCATAGATGAAAGAAGCAAGTAGAGCAATATTTGCAAAGATAATTGCACAAACATGCAAAGGGCAATCAACCCAAAAGCAGGAACAGGATTTCGCAATGTTCGTACAGAATCTGGGCGTGTCTGTAGGGCAAGCAAGAAAGCTGCATACCCAATCTCCGTACTGCCTTCACTGTCGCTGCTGACAATGCAAGGAGCAGATGGGCCTGTTTTGTTGTCGGGACATTCGATGGTTCACGCCATTCAACTGTCTGCAGAATTCGCTAAATAATCCTCATATTTGTTCGATTCTTTGTGAAATGCGCTTTTGGACATCGCGTTTTAAAGGTTAGTATTTTCCAAAAATTTTACAGCTGTAAAAATAGATGTGTGCATTTATTGCTACTGTTACGATGTAAATAGATTGATTCAGAATTTAACAAAAAATAAATAGAAGTAAATTTTTTTTTGTTGTTGAATGATTGTTTGATGTTTGGATCACATGTATACACATTATTGTGCATGTTAACACATGTGATGACTGTGAGTGCGATTTTCTAGACTTGTTATTGTTTTTCTCTGTTCATTTGGATGACATGTGAAAAGAGGCAAGAAATACGTAAAAATAGATATATGAGAAAGATCCAAAACAAAGCTTAAGAAGTAAATTTGAATAACTTAAAAAAAGAAAAAGATCATTAGAAAATAATGAAGGTAAAGGTAAGTAAAAGGATCTTTCAGTATAAAATGAGAAAAGATTATGAAATGCAAAAATAAGAGGAAAATATTTGAAAAAAAAATTAGAATGATATAAAGGACTAAAAATAGTAAAGCCTACTTGTCACTCAATCTGTGTTGAATTACATTCCTATTTCTTCGATATAACTATTTTCCTTTGGTGATTTTTTAAAGTTTGAATTATATATACATGTAAAAGTGCATATTTATAAAGACTGTAAATGCGACTGTCAGATTTTCTATTGTTTTACTTTGATCATTGATTTGTTTCGGATGACAAGTAGAAAGGGGGAGAAAAACGAAAAAAGAAGCTAGATAT